TGTGAACCATCTGATCTGGGCCGCATTTCCCTCCTCGAGGTTCTATGGTTTCCAAAAAGCCTGACTCAATGAAGCTACGCCACCTTGGGAAAATGACTCAGCCCCTGTGCCTACACTTCCTTCATATGGAAAAGGGAGAAAAGTCAGACCATCGCAGGAAGAACTAAATAAGGTAAGATCACTCAGAAACTAAAAATGGCCAACACCTTCTGCTCTACCCACTTTAAGCCTTATTGTTCTTGGTCTTGCCTATATTCCCACAGAGAAATCTGTTCCACGGTATTTTCTGAAACACATACATTTGCTGACGATGTTCAGTCTAGGACTGCTCGCTGATGTTTCTCTTACCCCAGTTTCCTTAGTTAGACAGGTTTATTTCAGTGACATGTGGCTATTAACAACATAGGGGTACTCTCAGATCAAGGGTGGTGGAAATGAAGAAACTTTAGAAATGCGTCTGTCTCAATTAGACAACATTACAAAATGGGACGGAAGCCTAGAAAAAGGCGGGTCAATGGCGGGCAGGACCACACCTTGACCAGGACTGTGCTTGTGTTCTCTGCCCTCTATTTAAGCTTTCATTGCCTTTCAGAGCCCCGACGATGGACTTGAGGGCTTCCCTGGCTTGCTCTGTTCTTCTTCCCAATGTGGACAGGAATGAAGTTAGGATATATTTAGTTGGTGTCAGGTATGTGTCCCTAAGCACTTTTCCTAACCCCTGACCTTGGGAAGAACCGACACAAGCAACTTCACCTTGGTTTGAGGAAGGGTTTATCATGAAGCCCAGACTTGCCTTAAACTTCACATCCTGCCGCTTCAGCTCTGTAAGTGTGGGATGACAGGAAAACACCACACCCAGTGTGACTCCATTTTAACCCTGACAACTTGTCTGCCTATCACCACTTCCACTATAAAGCCACGGATGTTGGAGAAACTGTTTTGTGGGGGGCCACAATGAACATGTCTGTGCCCAGGGAAAAGCTTCCAAGTACCTGGCTAGCATGCACTCAATATTGTTTGCTAATTAAAACTTCAGTTTGAACTGAAGACTGGGAAGTGTTTGCCCCAACAACTGTAAGCAATTGCAGCTCTAGGAACATAGGAACAATTTTCTCAGTAGGCATCTAGTTAGTCTAACCACAGGCATTTGCATACAACTGAAGAATTAATTCAGCTTAGGTATTTTGTTAGTTTCCTTATTGTTTGGTCAGGGTTTGTCTTATTTTTTGAGACAGGGCCTCATGTAGCACAGGCTGGCCTCAAGCTTGCTACGTGGCTGAGGCTTACCTTAAAACTCCTGGTTCTTTTATCTCCACCTCCCAGGCTCTGGGATTACAGGCAAGTGCCACTAAGACTGGCTCAGTTTGTATAGTTTTGACTTGCAATGATAAAAAGAGTAAACTCTGAATAGTTTATTAAAGAAAATCTTGTGACTACACGATCCCAGAGCAACCATGGAATTAACTTTGGAAATATTCTGCAGGTACCCTAAGTCAACCAACGTCTTTAGCAGCTATGAACCCCAGAATTGGGGAAGCCCGATTCCTGTCCCACTATGTAACATTGCAAGGCTCATGCGAAAGAAGACCACATCCAATAGTTAGGCTGCAGTATGTATGTATGATGACTCATCAGCTCTCTGCTGAAGGAACAATGTCCCTTGAGGAACACAGTGTTAATCATATCTTTGTTACACAAGGATTTCATAACATTTGCTGCTAAGCAAGGGCTTCACTCACATGGTTGCACTAAGGCCTCTCAGTTCCTGGGTCAACATGGCTAAGCCCCGCTCAGGACTGTGCCTTCCACAGCATCCTCATTTTAGTGGCCCCACAAAAGACAAGCCCCACAAGGCTGACGTAACTGAAGGTGCCCCACATGCCATCCACTGTAGGGTTCACATTTCCTCACACTACCACAGTTCTGAAATATACTATTATGTCTTAACCTTGACTGTGGGTCCCAGTTTCCCAGGAAGCAGCTCTTCTGTCTTAAAGACACATAATGTAATCATCTACCATTATTTTTTGGTATTTGCTATCAAATGGAATATAGTGGTCATATGTGGGCAAAATATCTTGAAAAGTAGACATCATTCTGCTGTCATCTTTCTAGCTACAATTATGGAATTAAATCTGTACCCTAATATAAAGCCCTTGACTCCCATCACACATATTTTATATATGCATTTACTCAATAAATGTTTGTATCCACTCACTTATCAAACATGAATTATTTGTTCTTTGTGCTAGTCACTGAATGCTGTGAAAATAGTAAACATGATACAATCACATGACTGAAGATTGCAGCGAATTCTTCAAACTATGTGTTTGTGGGGAGAAAAAAATTATACGTCTCTTACTGAACAAGATGCTCAAAATGTAGGTTTAAAGAAATAGCATAATGGAAAACAATATGGCTAGTAACTAGTTTTTTTATAATCATAGAGAGAAAATAATCTTTTTTAATAAAAAGAGATGTAGGAAAAACCCATAGTTAAAAACAAAACCACTCAAGCTGGTTGTGATGGTTTCCATCCAAAATCCCAGCACTAGAGATTCAGGAAAGAGAATTATTGGAAATCTGACACCTGACTAGGCTATACAATGAGACCATGTCTCAAAGAAATATAAATATGTATATTTTACATGGCTTTCTATCAATTTCTTTTTCTTTTCTGAAACAAAGTTTCTGTATTCTTTGGTCCAAACCTCATCCTTAAGCTCTCCTGATTCTAGCCTCTTGAATTCAAGGATTGTAGATATGTTTTCCCTGCCATACCCAGCCCATAATATGGGTCTTAATTAAGGTTAAAAAATTATACAGAAGCTGTAATAACATTTCCAAGATAACTTGGACCCTGAGCATTGCCTAGAGATTTAATGATACCAGGGAATCTGCCAAATTCATCAGTTAAAATAAAGATACCATAATATTTTTAGAGTATTTACTTTTAAAGACACATAATAAAACATCTAGGGGAGATATAACATAGTTGAAATTTGCTTCAAAATATTTTGACAACTGTCAGAAATTGTTTCTATGCGTCAGAGTGAGTCAAATATCTATGGCGTCATATTGAAAGTCGGGAAAAAGATGGAAGCACTAATGAGATAAATATGGTCAGGGGTTGGCTAATACTAAAATTAGGGTGTGCTCTAGTGTGAACCTTGCTACTTCCTATGTGTATAAAAATTTCCCACAACAAAACTACAACAAAATTCATTATTAATCCTGCACTTTTTAATTATTATTTTTATTTGAGTGTGTGTGTGTGTGTGTGTGTGTGTGTGTGTGTGTTACTGATGTGCATGTCTGTAGAAGAAAGAAGCGGGCTTCGGATCTCTCAGAGCTGAAGTTAAAGGTGTGTTGTGAACCACCTGACATGGCGCTAGGAACCAAACTCGTGTCCCCTAGAATCACTCTTAACCACTGAGCCACCTCCCCAGTCCCTAATCCCGTGTTATTTTTTAAAATAAATCAGACACTTAAATATATATATATATGAAAAGTGAAACAACGTATCACTGCTAACCAGTCCGCCTAAAGTACTTACTTTCCATTGCAGAGATAAACACCTCTAAACCTTGAACAGCTAGCTAACTTTTTCCTCAAACTAACTACAGGGACCAGAGAAATGGCTTCCCCATTCCAAGCACTTGCGGCTCGTCTAGAGGATCCGAGTTTAATTTTTAGTGCACAGATGGAGGCTCACAACTGTCCATAACTCCAGCTCCAAGGGATCTGAGGCCCTCTGGCCTCTGTAGGTACAGGCACATACATGGTACACAGACACACATTAAGAATAAACAAATAAATATAACAGCAGTTAGTTATATGTATACCACAACTTACTCAACCAACCACTGATCTATGCTAAACACATATAAACTTCTTTTCTTGTGATTATTCCCTTAAAGATACAACACAACAACTTTTACACAATACTAGATACTAAAAGTAACTAAGGGGTAATTTAAAGTAAATGGCAGATATGGATAGGTTCTATGCAAACACCACTACATGATTTTCCATGAGGGGAAGAGAGGAATCCTGGGGACCAGGCTCCAAAGATAGCACAGGATGCTGTCCCTTCCCAACTTAATGAAATACCTAAATTAAGTCACTCTGCATGTTTTTCTCATTTTTTATTATAAATCAGGATGTTCCACATCTACTTCAAGCTTGGTTCTAAGGAGTCATGGGACCTAGCACACAAGCTACTCAACTCTTATAGGTCAGTCAGTCCCTTCCTCTGCACACAGAAGCCAGTGACCTCCGCCACCTCCTGGGTGCTCTCTGGGTCTCTAACTGTACTTGCTATCTGCCCTCTGCTTAGCAACTGATGGGCTTCCCCAGTCAGGCATGGGATTCTACACCTCTCTCACTATTTAACGAGGTCTACATCTTCTGCGCAACAAGAGAATTGAAATGTAGGGGCCGATAGACTACCTAGTCGACTCAAAACATCAAGCACATAGACCCATCCCCAGAGAGAATTCCTGAGACTGATTCAGAAAAGAACCACTGAGACTCACACTAATGGAGTGTCTGAACTGTGCTCCCAAGTTCGTAGCTTACATTAGAACAGACAGAAAGATAGTCTATACTTCTTGATGGATGTACATGATAATTACTATAGCTTTCAAGCATAATTCATAGCCTGAAAGCATATTTCACAGTATTAGACATAAGTGCATCGCTGGAGCTTGGTTGGAGCTGAGTTATCGACAGGCTAAGGAGAGGTGACAGTCAAGCTCTGTCAATCTGTTACGTCATTTGCACTTTTCTCTGGGACGCTGGAGTAAGCTAAGCATACGAGTACTTGAGTCTGCAAGTGGGTGCATGCAGAGGAGAAATATAAATAGCACATAAAACACACCAGCAAAAGGAGAAAGGGCAAAGCCTGCACAAAGGTCCTGTTACTTGCTTTGATGAGACAGAATATGAATCATTACTATATGACCACAACATGGGCTCTCTAAACAACCAAAGATTACCTTGATGTGCTTAACTCGTTCTTCTTTTTCTGTCTTTGGTTTCTTTCCTGTGGCAACAAAAAGGTAGGTCCGGATCAATTCATGAAGGACAGAGAAAGATGGGCTTTCCTACATTAAATTCTTTCTGAAACCCACTGCACCTCAGCAATACAAGAACCAGATTACAAATGTATCTTTTTGCCTTTGGTGTCGTGAAAGTCATTTTTCCAAGGCAAGTAAAGACAGAATTGTTACCTCTAGGGTGAACAAGTATCCTACCCTTCAACATGACGACAGAAGCAGAAATGAAGAAACTAAAGGGTACCGTGGTCTATAGTGAGGGATATTTAGTCAGTAAACAGCTTTACCTTTCTTAGAAGGTCGTTCAGATAAGGGCAACATCCGGTACACTCTGAAGGCATTGTTTCCTTTCTTTATACTTCTGTCTTTCACCTCTTCGATATCAGGCAAGGAATTCATGGCACATCGAAAATTTGCTTTCCATGTTTTTGGATCAGGTTTATCTACTCCTGGTTGATGCTTTCCTAGCAAAATAGCCAAAGATAAAGAAGAAGGTGGGGGACATTAACACAGGGAGAAAGGCCTAAAAACAGTACTGACAGACAGACAGAAAGACAGATAGACAGATAACAAAAAGCCTCTTTGTTCTAGATTATTAACAATCCTGCTTTTCTGGAAGCTGGGACATTTCTAAGGTACAGGCATTTTATTTCAAAAATCTAGACAACAGGAACCACACTGGTCCGCCATTTCTACCACACAGTTTGAAGTGAAAACAAAACGGTAGACTGGAGAATCAAACGATTCGTCAGAATAAAAAGCCAACAAGCAGAATGAACTAGCTTCAAATATTAAGTAAAAAGTCCACTTCTAAAAATAGCTGCCTGCAAAACTTTTGTAATAAACACAGTACTAAAAGTTAGTAGCGCTGAAGTTCCCCTGGTAACTGACCCCTAAGAACTTATGAGAATACCACATCTATGGGAATTTTAAAGACTGGGAACCTCTAGAATGGGAGGGACATCACTTCTGAGCGACGCTGCCTATACTCCTCATACATCCCCTAGATGTACCTGGGGACAAGTCTCGGGATTTCAGGGCTGTCTTCATGAGGCCCTAAGGCGGTATTTTTTGTGTAATGACAGCAAAACTCACCAGCAGCCACCGTGTAGATATGCAAGGCAAGGGTTACTACCTGTGTGGATCGCCCAGTTCCTGAAGAGTGGCGCGTCCTTCTCCACATCCCACCCGTGTCTGGCTGCGTGCATCCAGGGGATCTGGAAAATCTTCTTCTCCTGAAATGGGGGAGGGGCAAGTTAAGTAAAAACCGGAGTCATGGGGTTTCACTGAGGATATCATGGACTGCCGAAGTCTTCGGGATAAATTTCACAGCTAAGCAAAACTGAGGGTCTGCAATGAGGCTGGTTGTAAAATGAGCCTGTGGGCTGGGAAGTGGCTCACTGGCTCACTGGGTAAAGGGCTTGCAATGCAAACCTGAAGACCCAAGTTCAAGCACCCACATAAAAAGCCAGGTGTGGTGTGTGCCTGTGTCTTGGTTAAGGTTATCATTGTTGAGATGAAATACCATGACTGAAGTAATTTGGGAGGAAAGGGTTTATTTGGCTCATGCTTTCACATCATTTTTTATCCAGAACAGAAACTCAAACAGGGCAGGCACCTGAAGGCAGGAGCTCATACAGAGGCCATAGAAGAGTGCTGCTTACTGCCTTGCTCCCCATGGCTTGCTTAGCATGTTTTGTTGTTTTAGAACTCAGGACCACCAGCCCAGGAATGGCACCACCTACATTGGGCTGGGTCCTCCCCCATCAATCACTAATTAAGAAAATGTCCTAGAGGCTTGCCTACAGCCAGATCTTATGGACACATTTTCTTAATTGATGTCCCCTCCTCTCAGATGACATTTAGCTTGTGTCAAGTTGACATTAATCTATCCAGCACAGCCTATAATCCTAGATCTGGGAAAGTAGAGGCCAAAAGGCCCCTGGAGCATGCTGGTCAACTAATTTGCTCAATCAGTGCGTTCCAGGTTCAGTGGGAGACACGGACTGTCTCAAAAAATAAGGTGGAGAGCCATTAAGGAGGAAATCCAACACCAGACATGCACATGGCAAACACATTACACATGCAACATGCACACACACACACACACACACACACACACACAATTTGAAGAAAACTTAAATTAAAAAAAAAAAAGGTTCCACTGCCCCACTGGGTACCTAATTCTGACAATCTACACAGGAAGGAATTCAGAGTCTCGCACCGCCTGGCAGAACAGGAGTATATGGTAAGATTTAAGCTACCATGATATGTTCCATGCTTTGTTTCCCTCCCCTTTCATACAGCCAGGGATAAACAGTCACTGGCTGAAACTTCTAGATGCATTTCATTCTTTCTTCTTGACCTGCTGCTAAAGAAATGTCTAGTGTATTGGAGACCACTGCCACAGAGAACAAGTGTCTTCAGTTTTGCATGGGTATTTACCAAACATAGAGGTTATTTGTGTGTGTGCTGGTCTAATCACTCTAAGTCCACCGTCATGGGCATAAGGGCAGGAAATGCAAAGATATCCAGTCTGTGAGGTCAAATTGATTCTCCAGCAAAACGTTCAATACAAGCATCATACTGGACTCCTATCTTTCTTTCCACCTGAGCACAACTCAAAACTGCTTAAACCAAACCCAGCAAACACACACTCAGAACTGATGCTCTAGAAAAAGGTCCTGCTCATAGTGAGACCTCGTGGGTGAAAGGAAAGGTGGGTAGGCCCACCCTCCAACTGTGCCTGTGCACGGCACATCTGACGATGTGTGACCCTGTGAGGCCCACTTTTGTTTCTTGCAATCCCAGAAGGAGCCAAGCTGATGGTTATAATTTCCATCTTACAAGTGAGGGAACCAAAGAAAGGCATTCAGTTATTCTGCCAAGGAACTTTTGGTTCAACTTATGTAAATCCAGAGCCACAGTCATGTGATCCCTTATGAATCCACAGATTGTCTCTCACCCTCTAGATTCAGATTCTGTGCCCTGCTGTCTTGGATGGAATTTATTGGGGTTAAGGGACAAGGTTGGTAGGTGCGTTTTGCTTGTTTGTTTGCCTGTTTAAAGATTTTTGGCAGTTCTGATCATTGCTAAGTACCAGGGATACCTCCCTGCACCACACAATGGGTGGGGGGAGAGGAAGGTCAGTAAGGGATTTCCACCAGTGGATCTCACACAGCAAAATCTAGAAAAGGATCCAACAGTCTCAAAGAAACCCCTATTCAGAACCACACACAGAGACTGAACTGACAATATTCTAAAATGCTGGAGAGTTTCCAAAACTGTTATGGGGAGGAGGGGATCGACTGTATTTATAACAGTCCGTTAATAAAGAAGAACTGAAAGCCACAGGCATTTTCATAAACTCCTCATTGGTCACTGGGTGTCGCCCACCTGTGGGCCAACGAGTAGGGGGACCAGAAGGTTCAGTGGAGTTTTCATTTTTTTTAATGTGTGTGAAAATCACAGAGAACGGGACTGCTTAATGATGCTCTTGTGAAAATGAACACAAATAAAAGGGAACTGATTTCATGGAAAAGTTTTCCCTGCTGGCGAAATTTCAAAGTATTAGAGGGTGCTATCAGGACGCTGGGGAGAAAGCACATGGGCAGCATTAAACCACCAGTGGTCCAGCACTGGACTCTGCATGCTGTAATACATGCTGCAATGCAGCCAGGCAAGATGTGTCCGCTGGTGCAATACTGGCGTGGATGTTAGTAACCAACTACTTTCTGATTGCACTGAAGGCCGGCCGGCTCCTCAGGTGGGAATTTGTGCCTGGTACTGTAAACCTATTCAAAACTCAGGACTGTGAAAGTCATAGGCTCTAGTTGGGAACCTAGTACAACTTTTTTGCTAAGTTGCCATGTTGTTGAACTTCTTTCTGAATATTTTTATTTATACCCATAAAATAGCGTTGTTCTCAACATTAGCTAGAGAAGTTTCTTTTTGCAGTGAGTAGCATTCCATGCAGACTTGTAACTAGTCAAAGTGCTGAGAATAAGTGACTATTGAGTGTTCAGCCCTAAATGCAACACCTACATCAATCTCCTCAAGACCCAGGGTTCATCACAGAAGAAGGGGTGAAAAGACCTGAATAGTGGGAGAATGGGGAGGAGAACTGTGACAGGACATGACCACTAACAGCAGCTATAGCTACCAGCACAAAACCAAGGCAGTCAAAGTTTAGAACAGAAGGGGGATGGGCTCTCAAAGTCCCACCCTGTCTGAGGAGCGATGTTGTCAATTGATGGATGATCCAGGAGGGAGGGCCATTGTCCTTTGGGGGTGTGACTGCTAATGCATCGCTTATGCTCTGGCTGCAGGCCCCACAGCCATGCACATGTTGGAATTACTAAAGGAACTCAGTGGATGGCTTAAAACAAAAAGACAGGGAACACGAAGGTTGGAGAGGGGATATATTTGGTCCAGGAGGAGTCAGAAGGGAAATTGGGGAGAGAGATGATCAAAGTATATTGTTTACATGTATGAAACTGTCAAAGAATAAATATAAAATACTCTTTAAAAAAGATTCCAGGTAGTTTTTTTCCCTGGAATTCACTCCTATAATTTAAAGTTTCCTGCTTAAAAATACAGACTTTAACTGGGCGGTGGTGGCACATGACTTTAACCCCAGCACTTGGGAGGCAGAGGCAAGAGGATCTCTGTGAATTCAAGGCCAGCCTGGTCTACAGAGTGAATTCCAGGACAACCAGGGCTGTCTCAAAACAAACAAACAAAAGAAAAATACAGACTCTGAAGAATGTGTTGGACTTTTTGTCCAGATGAAAAGAATTCTGATGTAACACAATCTGAATTCTTTTCATAAGACACAGATTCAAGCATTGCTTGCATGTGCACACACATACATTTTTACATATACATACAAACATGGTCTCACGGGAATCAAACAAAAATCATAAAATCGTAAAATGATGACTAAACCTAGCAATTGTCAGTACAGATCATCCTGACACGGGTAAAGAACCCAAACAGTCCTGAATCACTAAAGAAGTACAAACTAAAATAAGCATCTCACCCTACCAGAATGGCTAGAGAGGGAACAGGAGAAAACTAGAAGACAAAAAGCATTTGTGAGGTTTGGGAGACACTGGAACTCCCATGTGGAGTAGCAGAGCCACTGTGGGAAATACTCTGGCCATTCCTCAGAAAGTTAGACACACAAGTTGCTAGCTGGCAACACCACGGTTTCACTTCGTGTCTGGATGTGTCCTCACAGAATTACAAATGTTCAACAAAAACTGGCATGTGGTTGTGAACACACTTACCAAGACCAAAGATGGAAACAGTTCAAATGCCAACCTGCTGGTGAATCCATAAACTGAGTGTGGTATACAGTGGAATGTCTGCTTTGTGCGTTCAGTTGGAACCATTCCATTTATACAGATCAGCAACGGCGGACTGACACACACAGCCACATGGGTGAACTTTGCAAGACTGTTTTGACATAAAGAACCCCAGCACAAAGGAACAAACATCAAATGGCCCCATTTATACGGAAAAACCAGAAAGAGCAAAGCCATCTCTTCCTAAGCAAGGAAGAGATGGGCAGTGACTGGCTAATGAATATGCTGTTTTATTTGGGTGAAGTGAAAAGTGTTTGGAAGGAGATGGTGGTGATAGCTATGGAATACTGTGAAGGTGCCTAATATCTCTGAATGTACACCCTAAAATAGTTAAAGTGGCAATGTTTTTGAAAACTTCATCTAACTTTTAACTTTAGCTTTTCATACTGTATAAAAAGCACTGCTAAATAAATATAACCCAGAGCTTTAAAAATACTTTAATGGAAAAATATGAGTTTTGTTTTAAACATGCATTTTAGTTTGCATTTGTGTGTGTGTGTGTGTGTGTGTGTGTGTGTGTGTGTGTGTGTGTGTGTGTTGTGGCAGACAGCCTGTGTTTATGTGAGTGCAGAATCAGAGGATCCCCAGGAGCTGGGGTTACAACTGGTTCAGAGTCCCAATGTAGGTGCTGGGAACTGAAGTAGAGTCCCCTCCAAGAGCAGTATCCTCTCTTAACTGCTGAACCATCTCTCCAAATCCAAGATTCATTTTAAAACTGAGATTTGAAACGAGCCTTCTTGTCAAAGATATTTGTGCTTCCATGGAGCTACATGTCTGCTTAGTCACTGACACATCTTCAGAGTCCAGTGGTCCAGAGTGCCTCATAGTCCTGCATACACAGTGTTTGTACAGACTTCGAATGGAAA